CACTTTAGGTGTCAAATAAAATGAAGATTGCAAGAAATGCAAGACAAGTTATTTAAAGTGTCTAAATAAAATATTTGAAATATCTGTATGGTCTTTGTGGAAGTTCTAGTAAGAAACAACAGGATAGATTTTTACCTTAGCTATACATTTTTGTCAGGAAGTTGCTATCATGTGAATATTTATGTTAGAACTAAAAGTATCCCTCTAACTGTAAAAAAAAAAAAAAAAAAAAAAAAAAAGGCCTGATGTGAACTATTAGTGACAACAATTCAACATAGTTGGATCTCTGATTGTTGCAGGTTTCTGATTTAAAAGCTGAGTCTTACAAACCTAGTCTTCTAATTTTCATAACTCACTTATAGCAAATATGATTCCATAAAGCATTCTTTCCATCCCTGTAATAGTATTCTTTACTGTAATACCTTTCTTAATACAAACAGTACAAAAGGATTAAAATAAAGTTTAAAAATTTTCATCTTACCCCCCAATTTGGATTACCTAAACAAAAAGCCATTCTCACTTCTTTCTCATTATTGTAACCTACAAAGATTTATAGACATAATTCTTTTGCAAGTAAGAAAACTTCTCTACAAGGTATCTTTCTACCATCACACACCATTATTAAATTTATTGGATTTTATAGTACTTTCTGTTTAATAAAAATATAAAGTATTTCATGCTGATACTAGGATAAAATAATAAACATGTTTTAAATTAAATAATATAATAAATAATTTCATATTTTAATAAAAATTTTAATATTTAGTGTCAAAATAAGACATTCATCTTTTGAGTCTACAAAAGAACACTAGAATTGCTAAATGAAATAATTATATGATAGCCAGGCAGCCTTGGTAACTTTCTTGGACTGGTCTCTTGTAGATGAGATGCTATGTCCAGGGTCTTTGGTTTGGTCTCCCAACCTATTACATTAAAATAACTAGAGGTCCAGTGTACAAAATTCGTGCAGGGGGGTGTGTGTCTCTCAGTCCAGCCTGCACCCTCTCTGATCTGGGATCCCTCCAGGGATGTCTGACTGCCTGTTTAGGCCCGATCCCGATTGGGCCTAAACAAGCAGACAGATATCCCTCTCACAATCCAGGACTGCTGGCTCCCAACTGATCGCCTGCCTGCCTTCCTGATTGCCCCTAAAAGCTTCTGCCTGCCAGCCTTATCACCTCCTAACCATTCCCCTGCCAGCCTGATTTATGCCTAACTGCTCCCCTGCCAGCCTGATTGCCCATAACTGCCCTCCCCTACATGCCTGGTCCCCCCAACTGCTCTCCTCTACAGGCCTGGGGACCCCCAACTGCCCTTCCCTGCAAAATTGGTCACCCCAAACTTCCCTCCTCTGCTGGTCTAGTCACCCCCTAACTTCCCTAATCTGCTGGCTTGATCAGCCCAAAATGCCCTCCCTTGCAGGCCTGTTCCCTCCCAACTGTCCTCCCCTGCTGGCCATCTTGTGGTGGGCATCTTGTGTCCACATGGGGGCAGCCATCTTGTGTGTTGGAGTGATGGTCAATCTGCATATTACTCTCTTATTAGATAGGACAAGAGGCCTGGTGCATGGGTGGGGGCCAGCTGGTTTGCCCTAAAGGGTGTCCTGGATCAGAGTGGGGGTACCCTTGGGCCATGGGGCGGCCTGGGTGAGGAGCCTGTGGAGGTTTGCAGGCTGGCCACGCCCCCCAAAAATCCCAAGCAGAGGCCCTGGTATCTGGGATTTATTTATCTTCTATAATTGAAACTTTGTAGCCTTCAGAAGAGGCCAGAGCAGGCAAGGAACTTGGCTTCCTCCATTGCTTGGGAAACCCAAGCCTCCTGCTTGCTCCATGGCCATAGCCATCTTGGTTGGGTTAATTTGCATACTTGCTCCTGATTGGCTAGTGTGAGTGGCTTGTGGGTGTAGCTGAAATACGATCAATTTGCATACTACTTTTATTAGATAGGCTTATTATTAAATTTTATGTTCCAGTGATCCTCTGTTAAGGAATAGCTTTTGCAATATAACACTGCGATTCAGTATCTGGTTTGCTAACACAATCAATGTTAGATGCTCCTAGCTAATGTGTGCCAAGATATAATACTTCAGAGCAATTTCTTAAAATAGGAGAGTATATAAGCTTTATGAGGTAGTTGCCTAAAGGAGTCTGATGAGCTAGCCATGTTATGAGTAGTTGTTATTGGGACCTAGTATGACAGGGTTTTGGGGTCAGAGAGGTGGTTATTGGGACTTACATATGGGCAAAATGGGATAGCTTAAATATTGCCAATTGGTCTAAATTTTAAAATGAAGCAGAATTCTCTTTGAAATAGTTATCTGGGTAATGTTCAAAGAGAAAACTAAACAACTGGAACAAAGCAGGTGAAAATATTTTTCATTTGGAATTATCTACCCTGAAAGCATCACAATTTCTTTTCCAGAGCCTCTAAACTACCAATAACACTAGCCAGTGATTATCTAGGATCCAAGTTTCTAAGACACCTTCTTAAACCAGTATCAAATTTACAAGCTAATTATTTTTAAAGAACAGAATGGAGCTGAGCAAAGTTGGAAATATTCTCTAATCCAATTATGTTCTAGAGCACTGATTTAGTTCTGTATTTTCTCCAAAAGAATCCCTATTAAAAGCTAAAAAACCTTATTGGATAGAATTAGGCCAGATTTATTTTTATTCTCACCAACATATCTGAACAAGATATCTGAACAAGAGGATTATTTTGTTCCTCTGACTTTTTGTGAGATGAGTCTTTTTCCCCCTGTAAATAGGCATATTTAAGATTAAGAATTTTACAAAATTAACGCCAAGAAATCTATGGCATTTCTGTTTCACCAATAGTGAACTTACAGAAAAAGAGACTAAAACAGCAATCTCATTTACCATCACACCTAGGAATAAATTTAAGTAAGTAAAATACCTATATGTGGAATACTACAGGACACTGGGGGAAAAAAGATAGAGGAAGACATAAACAGATGGAAGAACATACCATGTTCATGGACTGGTAGAAACAACATTATTAAAATGTCCATACTACGCAAAACTATCTATAGATTCAATGCACTCCCCATTAAAATACCAATGGCATATTTCACAGACCTAGAAAGAACTCTCCAAAAATGCATCTGGAATAAAAAAAGACCCCAAATAGCCATAGCAATCCTGAGAAAAAAGAACAAAGGAGGTGGGATCTCAATACCAGACTTCAAGCTGTATTACAAAGCCACTGTTCTCAAAACAGCCTGGTACTGGCATAAGAACAGACTTATAGACCAATGGAATAGAATAAAGAACCTAGATATTGACTGAGACAAAGCAGGTATGAACATACAGTGGAGTCAAGATAGTCTCTTCAATAAATGGTGTTGGGAAAATTGGACAGATACAAACAAAAAATGAAACTAGACCACCAAATTACACCATACACAATGGATCAAGGACTTAAACATAAGACAGGAAACCATAAAGTTACTAGAGGAATCCACAGGCAGCAAAATCTCAGACATATGCCGAAGCAATTTCTTCACAGATACCAATCCTAGGGCAATGGAAACTAAAGAGAAAATAAACAAATGGACTACATCACAATAAAAAGCTTTTGCACAGCAAAAGAAACCATAAAAAAATCAATAAGAAAGCCCACTGCATGGGAGAACATATTTGCAAATGTTATCACTGATTAAGGTTTAATCTCCAACATCTACAGGGAACTTATACAAGTTAATAAAAGATAAATGATTCAATAAAAAAATGGGCAAAGGACCTAAATAGGATCTTTATGAAAGAAGATAGAAGGACAAGAGACACATGAAAACATCCTCAAAGTCACTAATTATCTGAGAGATGGAAATCAAAACGACAATGAGATACCATCTCACACCTGCCAGAATGGCTATCATCAACAAATCAAGAAATGACAAGTGCTGGCAAGGAGGCAGAGAAAAAGGAACCCTCGTGCACTGCTGGTGGGAATGCAGACCGGTGCAGCCTGTGAACAGTATGGAGTTTCCTCAAAAAATTAAAAATGGGACTCCCATTTGTCCCAGTGATCCCACTTCTAGGAATATATACCAAGAAACTAGAAATATGAATCAGAAAGGACATATGCACCCCTATGTTCATAGCAGCACAATTCACCATAGCTACGATTTGGAAACAGCCTAATTGCCCATCACCAGATGAGTGAATTAGAAAAGTATGGTACATGTACACAATGGAATACTACGCTGTTATAAAAAGAAGGCATTCTTACCCTTTGCAGCAGTATGGATAGAGCTGGAGAGCATTATATTAAGTGAAATAAGGCAGATAATGAAAGAAAAATAGCATATGATCTCACTCATTTATGGAAAATAAAGAATATTATAACCTGATGAACAAAAACATAGATACAGAGGCAGTAAAGCTTCAAACAGAATGTCAAATTACAGTGGGAAGTCTGAGGAGTTTGGGGAGGAGAGGAAAGAGATCAACCAAAGGACTTGTATTCATGTATATAAGCACAGCCACTGGACATAAGACACAGGGGGCGTGGGATGAGGGCATGTGACAGGGGTTAGAGGAGGCTGGGGGAAGGTCAATGGGGGGAAAAAAGGAGATATATGTACTACAATATGTAATATCTTAAGCAATAAAATATTGTAAATAAGATGTATATTGCTCTTAGTAACATAATTTTAGATTCATTTCTCAGGATTGTGTTACTTAAACAGGTTAAGAATATTTTGTTGTCTATAATATTAAATATCAAGTGTTAAGATGGGCACTTTTATAGCATTTTGTCATAGTTTTAGCAAAAGTTTGTGTTTTTGAGGAATAATCATGTCATAATCATTATAATTCTTTAACTTCTTAACTCATATTGTTGCTAAAGATCAAAATTCTACATGTTAACCTGCAGACTAAATGCCCAAGAGCAACTTTAAGTGAAAAGGCTCTTAATAAAGAATGAACATTATAGCAAAAAAAAAAAACTTTAAATAAATTTGTACAACCTTGAAGTGCAATAAATGCTTTTTATTGTATGCTCATTTCAATGAGTAACATTTAGAAATAATCCCACGTAACAGAGACAATCTTATTTTACAGCGTGTACATCATTTACAGTCACATAACACACAATTTTAGATTTTCCAAATTTAATATTCTGAAGTTAAGAAAGATAAAAAATTTATTCTCAAGAAACTGATTCTTATCTGGTGCAAAAACAGAAAGGTGAACATTAGTTGAAATACAAAGCCACAATATAGCATGAAGTAAAATTACATTTTAATAATGTTGAACAGCTGAGTGTAAACATGAAGCAACTAAAACTTAAGAGTACACATCATATGCAATACATTTATGAGCAGAATTTCATTAAATTTCTTTAAACCAGCTTTTTATATTAAGCGCCATTTTGAATTCCAGCATGCTAACACAAAGCGTTAAAGGGATGCATATTTTAAATTTATACACTGTAAACTGAATATCCACTGCTGAATTCTATTGGCAGCACAGTGTTTTGTTAAATACTGCATAAACACTGCCTCATATTGAAAATGCATGTTAATTATATGGTATATATAGAGAGATTTTAAAAATCAAAAATTTCAAGAATGGCATAAAATTGCACCTTTAAACATTAGAGCAAGTAAGGCTAGAACCATCACACTTGCTGTCCCTAAAAAGAAAAACACTAAACATTATAATCTTTAAGAAAACTGTGTTTTCTCAATTTAATCTTTAGATCATTAAGAAATATAGTGCTAACTTTGCAACACTACTGGTTGCATACGTTTTAGAAAGCCATATTTGACTCAAATATATGCTTGTCATATATGCCATAATGAACAATAATCAACTCAAACAGCATAAAAAAGGGAACTTTAATCCTTAAACTTTCTATATTTTAAACATCCTGTCCTGTGATAAAATTTTAGCAGCTCTGAAATTCTTTTTAATATTATTGAATTAATCTAACCTGATTTTCAATGAAAGTTATTTTAATGGATAAACTTTTAGATTTCTGAAATTCAATTTCCAGGTACCATATAAAAGGCTCAATGACAAAATGCCTGATGGATGACTGCATTTTACTTCCCACCCCATTTCTAAAATTGCATAAAAGTGAGGCTTGTCATAGCAAAGCATTGCTAAACTCTTAAATTACATAAGATTTTTTCTTTTCAGAATCATGTCTCTAGTATGATCAGCCAAATAAAGTCATTGTGTTTGCTCTTCCTTTCTGACATTTATGCATATAATCCTATTAAATTGACACTTAATAGGTTTTCCTATTATCATTCTATGGTACTTCTTAAATTCTTTAAGTAGTTTTCAAAGGGTTATGAGATACCCTGTCAATTCAAATGTTTTTAATACAAAGAATGTAAAGTTATGATTTAATATCAAGTTCATAACCAGATGAAAAAGTTTATGAAGTTTTACTGTCATGTAGCATATCATATTTTCCAGAGTTTATTTCTTAATATTGGTCTTATTACATAAGAGCTTCCTTGTGGTGCCTCATAATATGCTGATTTTTTTCTGATGGTCTTCGGAATCCTTTTTTGCAGAATTCACATCTGTGTGGATAGTCTTTTGTATGTATTGATATCACATGTCGTTTAAAGCCAGATGCATCTGTTGTACTGTACTCACAATACTCACATTGGTAAATCTTCCTTCCAGTGTGGGTCTTCATATGCTTTTTGAGCTCGTTTTGTTGTCTGAACCCTCTCTTGCACCTTTTACACTTCAATGACTGATCCTTAGTATGAACTGAAAGGATATGACCACTAAGAATAAAAGGATCTGATGTTTTAAAGTCACAGTGCCTACACTGATGAATCTTCCTACCCTTATGGATATCACTATGCTTTTTGAGCTCAGAAGGACGATGGAAACCTTTATCACAGACCTCACATTTGTGAGGAAAATCCTTAGTGTGGACAGATATGATGTGCCGCTTTAGGTCACTTGAGTTGGTGCTCTTATGGTCACAATGAGGACACTGGTGCGTCTTATGTCCTTGAAACAAATCCAGATGGCGTTGAAGCTCCCTTTCATCACCAAATGCCTGGGGACAATGCTCACATTTATATGGCAAATTGTTACCATGCTTAGACTTAATGTGAGTTTTCAGATTTGATTGATCTGCACACCTGAAAACACAATACTGACATTGATATGGCTTCTCACCAGTATGGGTTCTCATGTGTTTTCTGAGTTCAGAAGGATGTCGAAAGCCCTTCCCACACTCAACACAAACATGTGGAAAATTCTTGCTGTGAACAGCCAGTAAATGTCTGTTTAACAGTCCTTGTTCTGCAGTTTCATAGTCACAGTATTTGCATTTGTGCATCTTCGGCTCCTTATCTCTTAGTATAAGTTTATTTGAATTCAGTGGACTAGCCTCTCTGTATCTTCGTGTATATTCTGTAAATTCATGGGTTTTGTCAACTTTGTTTATAAGCTTATGGCTTTCTAAGTGGTTATGGAAACTCACTTTCTTGTTAGTTGTAAAGTCACAATCTGTACACTGATATTTTTTTCTCATCAAATGATCAGGATGATTCTTCATGTGTCTTTTCAAGAATCCCCTTGATTTAAACTTTTTTGTGCAAATATGGCAAGGGTATACTGTCAAGGGCTGTCCATCAGGGCCTATTATAACAGCTAGATTAAAAAAATAGGGAAGTTATGACATTAGGCAGTTTAAAAATATTTTACAACAAAAGCACCAAAATTAGCCAATAATCACACTGAGAACTATACTAGTGGAATAAAATCTTCTAAGATAAAATGCACATTAAAAGCAATTGATGATAAAGTAGTCCACTAAAAATTAATGAGCAGCACTCTGCTATATATAATATTATTCATCTGCCAAAATACTATATCACATGCATTTGTAAACTAGAAACAGGCACCCTTTATTGTTAAACCAACTTGACAATTCCCTTTAAAACACCATTTGGGTAAAAAACAAACAATTATAGTTTTATTAAGTACAAGTCAAACACGTTTAAAGAAACACAACTACTTAGATCAAACACAAACAGGTATGTGGGAGTAGAGCTATACTATAAACAACTGATATATTCTTCAGTTACAAAAAAATAACTCCACTTTTCAAATCATTATAATATTAACAAAGCAAAGTATTAGTATTTTACCTGTTTGCCACTGCCTCATTTCTCCTCTTCTCCTCTTCTTGGGTTTTTGTTTAAGTACTTTATTTGTATTAATGCCATCACAAATTTGAATGTACTGTGCTGCTGTACTATTTCTGTTTTCTAATGTTGAGTCCAAAGTATTTTCTGAAAAATTGATACAAAATTAAAATACATATATTTATACATTTTTATTTTGTTAGATGAATTACAAGAGATGACATGGCATTAAGTTGTCCTTATGGTACTGAATTTAACGTTGTGGTATTACATTTCACAAAGTATACCTACATTATTCCTCTTTTACATTCTTACATAAACACACATGCTTATGCAAACACTTTAAATAAGATATTACATGAAATTAATTTTAAAATATCCCAATTTATTATCCTAAAGAAATAAACTGATGAGGTGAATATAATATAAAAAGTTGTTATGAACCTAAACAAAATCTTGGCATCAGATCAATTTATCACCAATGAAGGCTGATGAAATTAAAGAGATTTAGAAAAGAAATACATGTGTCAGTGAATCTATATAGTCATGGTAACTATGTGTAACACATAACAAACATCTCTTATATATAAGCTTTAGAATAGTTTACTTGATGTGAAAAATATTAAGATTTATTTTAAGATAGATGTGGCAGGCAATTAAGATAGATGTGTCAGTGTATTCAGTGTAAACAGAATAAAGCACTTAATAAAATCTCAGTTCTCACAAATCTGCTGTTATGCAATTTAGTTTAAAAATCTAGACCTACAAAACACCGCAGATTATATGCTCCAATTTTTGCCTCTTAGCAATTCCTCTGAAATCTACATTTCAATATAGTCAAATACCTCCTAAAGATTAAAATTGAATAGACATACAATTTATCATAAGAAAAAGTCTCTGCTTAAGAAAATGAACTATTAACCATGGTATAACACTATATAGAGTGTGTTAAAATAACAAAAAATTAAGCTGACACATGGGTTTTATCTAACAATTACATAAATCTACTGGCTGTGATAAAAAAAAAAAAATAGTCTGTCCCCAAAAAGATATTAAAAAATAGTTGATATCATGGACAATTTTTACAGTTCTGTCAAAATAATTTATATATTTTTCCATAGCAGCCTTTTATAAAGAATGTGGTAAGTTGCCTGGTATTTGTATTTTAAAGTAAATGCAAATTAACTGCACTCACAGAATAATACAAATTATTTATGTATTTAATAAATAGGCAAATTCCTATGTAAATAATGAAATATGGTCAGGCAAGTAAAAGCCCCCAAAATGTGTTTGTACACATCTATACTAATAATAGAAGAATATGCAAATTGGCCAGGATGCCGTAATGTATTATAACAACCAAACAGCAGGGACCTGAGCCTGCATAACGCCTGGCAGGGGACCTCTGGCTGCCCCCCGCCCCTGCCCAGCAGCATTCAACAGAAAACCTCAGACTGTGCCACCCCACCCCCCAGCCCCCGCTTTGGCACTGGGCTAGGGGACCTGAGGCTGCACTCTCCTTGAGGGGCTTGACAGAGGTGGAGCAGGCCGGGTCTGAGTCTAACCCAATGGGGGTGGGGCTGGTCAGGTCTGGGACCCCTGTGTTTTCATAGCCCATGCAGGTGGTGGGCGGGAATTGACTCTAGGTCCCACTGCATGCCCCAGACTCTGGCAGGAAGATTTTCATGTATATTTTACTAATTTTTTTCATCTCTGACACTTCTATTATAGAGAAAGGGCAAATAGCAATATTAAAATATTTCCTCTAATTAATTCCCTTTTATATGCGCATGAATTTTGTGCACCTGGCCACTAGTAAACTAATAACTCTCCATCTGCCAAACATATACAAAATTGTATTTTTTGATGTACAACTCACATATAAAGCTCTCTCACCTGATGCTTGACAATCTTCATATCTTCTTGAAACTCTTCTTTCATCTACTAAAAAAAAACAAAAAAACAAAACAAACAAACAAAAAAGACTAATTAAAATTGAAGATTTTCAATGAAAGACTCTTGAATGAATATACCTTTAGAAAAATCAAGTTAAGATAAATTAATACATTTGAACAAAATTTTTCAGAATATTCATGGACCATCTTATAAATTAAGGAATGAAATAAAATAGAAAGAAAAAAATAACTTGATAAATTTAATTTTTATAATCTGGACTTTTATTCCTTTTCAAATACTCAAACTCTTATTACTTGTGGTGTTAAAACATGAAAATACGATTTCCAAAATGGCAAGGATCAATTTTCAAAGGCTATCCCTATTTTAGAAAAATCAAAAAAATTTATGGCACTTACTTATATAGGTAGGATTTAAAATAAATCCTATTTAAAAAACACAATGCATTAAGCAAGGTTCATTTTAAATAGCACAATACATCTGGTAGGAAAATCATGTAGTTAACTAGAGATGAATCAATCTAAAGCAATACTACTAATAAAAGCATAATATGCATATCGACCAAATGGCCCAAAAGTGGAATGACTATTCAGATGAAGCATTGGGCCTCTAGTTTTATATTAGCCAATTCATAAAGGGTATTAGCACAGCATATTTAATGACTTAAAGGCTGATCAAATAGATATGTTATGTACTTATCAGGTAAAAAAAAAAATGCCAGTGTCTTACCATATGCCTCAGCCCAGGCAACAGGGGCAATTGTTTTATTAACATCAGAGTCCTCAAGCTCAGTTTCAGGGAGATAAGTTCCTTCCTCTTCCCCTACAATGACTTCCATATAAACTTCATCTGCAATTTCAGAATTTTAGAAATAACTGCTTGTTTATAACCCTAAATATTTAATAAATGGGTAAAAATTCCAAACAATTTAAATCCTTTAAGTTTCATTATTTCAATTTGGCTAATTTAAAAATCACAATGGGTAATTTAGAAACTAGTGCCACTGGGAGAAAATAATTTATTAATTATTTTTCTCCTCTTGGAACCTAGTCCTATAAAAATGGCTTTTAGATTATATAAAATATGTGTGCTTAAAATATACTGACTGGTTTTATAGTCCATTGGCATAACTTTATTAAAAAGATTGTATTCCATAATTCTGCCTGATAGTTCTTTGGAACTCAGAAAGCATTTCTCATAGCATCAATACTAGAAAAGTGGTCCATGATATCTCACATATTGCAACTCATATACGGTACTGTGTAGTCAATGAAAAATGGTCAAAAATATTAATAATGAAAACACTTTAAAGTCACATATAAAAACATCACTGGTGCTCAAGAATATGTGGATGCCCTTTCAGTCAAAAGACAGGATTTTCTGAGACTTTATTAAAGGAAAAAAGCAATAAATGAGATTCATTTTTAAAAATATAGTACTGATGTAAAAAATTTAAACTAAGAAGGTCAATTAGTATATTTTATGTGAAAGAATCCATTTATATTTAAGCTGTTAAACAGAAAATTGCCCTAGATTTATGCTTTAAGGGAGAAAAGTGCTCCTCTTCTTCTCAGTTTCTGTTCTTTCAATTAACCAGAGTCATTGGTTTAAGTTATCTACATTCCCATGGAATTCTGGAATCAGGTAACCTAAGTCTCCATTTCCACCTTCTACTGTGCCCCTTTACTTACCAATGATGAAAAAATAAAAATAAAGAATTTAGAGATCAAATAAAAATTAATTCATTTAACTCTCTACTTCTCCAATCAAATACTTTAGACGAATTTGTTTTAATATTTTCAGGTGTAGTATATTATTCATTTTCTGGATTGGAATCCAGTTCCCTATGGCTTTTAAGGGAAGGAAATTTGAGGAGTGGGGATCAAAATGCAGTATAGGTAAAGATGGGTACTGTAAAGGTTATGCACTTAAGTGGAGGCTCTTGCACTTGTAGGGCAAAACAAAGTAGTTTTTCTTAGTATGACAAGAAGACAGAAGAAGCCTTAGGGAAGGATTGCATTCCTAAAAAAGAGGTGAGGAGAAAGTAGGAAAAGAATAAAATGTCTCCATAAGGAAATGGCACGAAAGGAAATCTGAGGATCTTTTATCACTCTGTGGTACTCAGCCCTAATAAGCCTTACGTAGCAACTACTTGGATACTATCAAAGGCATCGTAAGTAAAGATTCTGGCAACGTGACTTAGATAAATACTTACTCAACTAATCCTTCAGGAATAGTAGGCAAACAATCAGATTCCCCTTCCACTGCTAAATCCAGATAAAGGCCAACAGTGATAATTGCCATGCGAAAGAACACTGGCAGTAGAGTGATAGATAGGAATTAAAATCATACCTTCCTCACTTAATATTGGAATGATCTTGGGTAATTACTTAATTTCCCTGAGCATTTTTTTCCTGTATAAAACAGAGATAATACCACCTACTTCATAGATGAGGTGTGAGAATTAAATGAGATAATATACACACGACATATCCATTAACACAGAGAAAGTAGATTCTCCATAATTCCCTGTATCTTTGTGGGTTCTACTGAAGCCAGTAACAGTATATTGCTGATCTCTGTATCCCTGGTATATGAACATAGTATTTCATATTTGCTGATTTGAACAATACATGTATCCATGAATGGTCAAAAGGACCCTTCCCTTTTAAATTATTTTAGCAAAGGGTCTAGCTTATTTTAGTGACTTTTTTCCTATATAGTGCTTGTAATTCCTGGGAATACTTTATTTTTTAAAAGAATGCATGATGGCTACTAATAAGTTACTCTAGTGCTCTTTTGTTCTTACTGATATCATCTTCTTGAGAAGAATCTTTAACTGCCATGTAAACCATCTTCTCCCGTTGCATTCGGTTCTGATCAAGCACTCCAGCTACAGAATGTCCATTGGTATACTCACTCTCTGTGACAATTTCTGTTCCACCTTAAAAAATTAAAACACATATCAAAATAGAGAAGTATCATGGAATAATTTCTTAAAGTAATAAGGGGAATATAATAAATATTTTTCTTTAGAAACATATTCTTCTAAAATATTCCAATATAAGTTTATAAATGTCAAGAAAATTTTCTTATAATTTACAGTTTAACTTTTTATATTGTACATCACTGAAAAGTAACAAATATAACACATCACACCTATACACCAAGCATCCTATCAGATATTTACATGCATTTAACCATTTAATCTTCGCAAAAGCCCTATAAGATAGTTATTATCATTATGGCTTACTTTGTGGATGAGAACACTAAGGCAGAAGGAGGTTAAGTAAATCAAAAAAAGGCCACTCAACTAAATGTCAAAACTAGGACTGAAATCCAAGCAGGCTATTCTAGCCTGTCCTTAAATACTCATTATAATTTTCACCAATAAACTAAATTCTACCCATTCATTTGTTTTAATATTTCAACTGTAATATTCTACTGTTTGAGAGTCTAAGTATGATATATTCTGAATTCGTTTTATATTTCATATGCATTTTTATATTCCATCTCCAAAGAAACCTATAAAAAATATGCACTTAAGTCAATTTTAGTAGTCTCTAGAAAAGATAAGAGTAAGTTCTAATTATTGAATATTAGAGCAACAAACTCTTTGTACCTATTTCAACATCATCTTCAGCCTCAGCTTTAAATATATACACTTTTATTACTTCTGAACCAAATCCATCTTCTTTAACATCTTGTGAACCATCACTGCCGATTTTTAATGGTGTGTTCCCCATATGCTCCAATTTCCCCCCAACATCATCCACTGTAAAATATAAAAAGGCATATATCTCAGTCAAAAAGTAACATTGACATTTAGTGGGTGTTAAGCTTAAGTGCAACAAGAAATAGCGTGTTAACCACCTACCCACTGTATTCAATTAATGATCTATTATACAACCATTAAAAGTGGCATGTTTCATGAAAAAAAAAGGTGTACAACAGATATACTGCATGATGATCACAATTATATAAAAACGTATTTACAGATTTCAATATATATATGTATATATAACAATTCATAACTATATAGCTTTAATTAAAATGGTGTGGTAAAGATAAAATAACCTTCTTTAACATTCAACATTTTGTCAAATCCTAATACCAAATTTAATAACAAAAATTAGAACATCTGATAAGTGTGAGGTGATACCTCATTGTTGTTTTAATTTGCGTCTCTCAGATGATTAGTGACTGAGCTTTTTTCATATGCCTCTTGGCCATCTGTATGTCCACTTTGGAGAACTGTCTATTTAGGCCCTTTGCCCATTTTTAATTAGATTGTTTGTCTTCCTTTTGTTAAGATGTATGAGTTCATTATATATTTTGGGAATTAACTACATATCAGATGCATCTTTGTCAAATATGTTCTCCTATGCAATGGGCTCCCTTTTCATTTTGTTGATGTCTTTTCCGGTGCAGAAGCTTTTTATTTTGATGCAGTCTCATTTGTTTATTTTCCCCTTAGTTTCCCTTGCCCTAAGAGATGTACGCTGTCAGAATGGCTATCATCAACAAATCAACAAAAGACAAGTACTGGTGAGGATGTGAAGAAAAGGGAACTCTATTACACTGCTGGTCGGAATGCAGACTGCTATAGCCATTATGGAAAACATTACGGAATTTGGTCAAAAATTTAAAAATGGAACTGTCATTTGACCCAGTGATCCCACTTCTGGGAATATATCCTAAAAAAACATGAAACACCAACCAGAAAGAATATATGCACCCCTATAAGCAGCATAATTTACAATAGCTAATATCTGGAAACAGCTCAAATGCCCATCAATAAATGAGTAGATAAAAAAAAAAAAATAGTGCTACATTTATACAATGGAATACTATGCAGCTGTGAAAAAGGATTTCTTACTATTTGAGGCAGCATGGAAGGACCTGGAGAGTATTATTTTAAGCAAAATGAGACAGACAGAGAAATATAAGTATGATATGACCTCATCACATATGAAATCTAATGAATAAATTAAACTGATGAACAAAATAGATCCAGAGACATAGAAGCATGGAACAAATCGATGAATCTCAGAAGGAAGGCAGGGGTGGGTAATGAGGTGTGATTAACTGGGAAACTTCAATGCATATATGCATAGCCCATGGATACAAACAATAGTGTGGTGAAGGCCTGGGGGGGGGGTGGTGTAGGGTGTATCAGGTCAATATGGAAAAAAAGGGGGAGGGATATCTGGAATACTCTCAACAATAAAGATACTTTTTTTTTTTAAGTAGTGGTATTAAAATATGTTCACATAAAAATTCCCAAATCTAAAAAGTTATATTTCTAAAACCAACTAACATATGAAATTTAGGATTGGAAAAAAAGAGGGAACACAGAAAATACCTGAATGATTTTATAAAAAGGGTTTTTCAGAAGTCATTACAAAATAAAATCTTAGTACATATCTTAATTTTTGCCGATTCAATGGAAGGCAACTTCAAAGCAGAAATTTGGTACATTTCTAGATTTACTAACATATGCTATACTTCAAAATCTTATAAAGCAGTATTATTTGAAAATATTACTTACATTTTAAGAATACTTTAAAAATTTGATTCTTTGCTATACAGCCTTTAAGAATATTATTTAGATTCACATGAATACTATGCACAACTTGTGCAATGAACATAGTAATAATCTCTCTCTACATATATATATTTATATATACACACACACACACACACACACACACACACATATGTATGTATGCATATATTATTGATTTTTTACAGAGAGGGACAAAGAGTTAGAAACATTGATGAGAGAGAAACATCGATTAGCTGCCTCTTGCACACCCCATACTGGGGATGTGCCCGCAACCAAGGTACATGCCATTGACCGAAATCAAACCTGGGACCTTTCAGTCTGCAGGTTGACACTATCCACTAAGCCAAACTGGTTTCGGCAAACTCTCTTCTTTTACCATAAATATTAAACACTATGTTCCCACCACATATTAAATGCTTACCAATTTTTATTTTAATGTTTTTCCCTAAGAACGGAAATGTAATCTAAATTGAAAATCTGTTCTTCCCTATTATGTACATAGTGCCAAATATGAAAGGTAAAATTGTGAAGTCTCTGACTACATCTAAATAATTCCAGAAGTACTAAAAAGAGAAAAAGTGACACTATAAAGTTTTCAATCTACTACTCTTAAAAAATGAAGATCAACCTTATGTTCCTTGTTTCATGTAGGATATTTATTTTTCCATCATATTTAAAGCATAGTTTTGTTGGATATATTATTAGTAATTCTCCCTTTCAGACATTTGAATATTTGTTTCCACTCTCTTCTGGAGAGTTTCTGTTGAAAAGTAGGATGAAATTCTGATGGGTTTTCCTTTGTAGGTCACTTCTTTCTTTTCCCTGGCTGCTTTGTCAATAATTTTTGACAGCTTCAATAACAAATGCCTTGGAGAGGGCCTCTTTGGATTGAGGACACTAGGTATTCGGTTGGCTTCTTGGATTCAAAGATCTAGTTCTTTCCACAGGTTTGGAAAATTCTCCTCCACTATTTGTTTGAATAGACTGTCTATTCCATGCTCCGTCTCCTCCTCCTCCAGAATGCCTATTATTCATGTGCACTAAATTCGTGCATGGGGTGGGGGGGGGGTGGAGTATTCCTCAACCCAGCCTGCACCCTCTCCAATCTGGGACCCCTAAAGATCCCTATCCCAGGCTCCCCATGACCCCAGGGATCCCCCACACTAATCCAGGACATCTTTCAGGGAAACCAGTCAGCCCCCACCCATGCACCAGGCTTCTATCCTATCTAATAAAAGAGTAATATGCATATTGACCATCACTTCAACACACAAGATGGCTTCCCCCCTGTGGACACAAAATGGCTGCCACAAGATGGCCAGCAGAGGAGGGCAGTTGAGAGAGGCCAGGCCTGCAAGGGAGGGCAGTTGTGGGCTATTAGAACATCAGGGGAGGACAGTTGGGAGGGACCATGCCTGCAAGGGAGGGCATTTGGGGGTGATCAAGCCTGCAGGGGAGGGCAGTTAGGGGTGACCAAGCCAGTAGAGGAAAGTTGGGGGAGACCGGGCCTGCAGGGAAGGGCAGTTGCAGGGGGACACAGGCCTTCAGGGGAGAGCACTTAGGGGTGACCAGGACTGCAAGGGAGGGCAGTTAGGGGCAATCAAGCTGGCAGGGGAGCAGTTAGACATCAATCAGGCTGGCAGGGGATTGGTTATGGGGTGATTAAGTTGATAGGCAGAAGTGGTTAAAGGCAATCAGGAAGGCAGGGAGCAGTTGGGAGCCAGTGGTCCTGGATTGTGAGAGGGCAGTCAGACATCCCTCGAGTGGTCCCAGATTGGAGAGGGTACAGGCTGGGCTGAGAGACACACACCCCATGCACGAATTTCGTGCACCGAACTTCATATGTATGTGTGTGTGTGTGTGTGTGTGTGTGTGTGTGTGTGTATACAGTGGTGCCTCACACAACGAACTTAATTCGTTCCAGGAGCAAGTTTGTTATGCGAAAAGTTCGTTATATGAAACGCGTTTTCCCATAACAATACATGTTAAAAAAAAAAATAATTCGTTCTGTAGCATAAAATATGCTAAGATGACATAAAAAAGATAATTTTTTTGTTATTATTTTTATTTAGATACATCATGATATAAAAAAAATATTGAGTTTAACTTAAAGGATGACTGCCGTGATACGTGCGTGATTTAATTCGTAATGAAGAACGATTGCCGCGATACGTGCTTAAGTTAAGCGCAGTGACTAACGACTGCCTGCAGTGCCTGCGCGGAAGGATGCAATACATCGGCAGCGATCGTGGAAGCTCGGGCGAAGCGGTCGTGGAAGCTCGGGCGACTTCGTTGTGTGAAACGAAGTTCGTTGTATGAATCATGAAACGAAGTTCGTTGTGTGCAGCGTTCGCTGTGTGAGGCGTTCTTTATGCGAGGCACCACTGTGTATATATATATATATATATTTATTTATTTATTTATTTATTTTTTATGAAGGGAGAGGAACAGAAAGTTAGAAACATCAATGATGAGAGGGAATCACTGATTATGTTAAGTGAAATAAGCCAGGAAGAGAAAGATAAATATCTCATGATCTCACTCATATGTGAGATATAATGATCAACATAATTTGATGAACAAGAATAGATCCAGAGACAAATGGTAGGGGATGGGGTGTTAGAGAGCAACCAAAGGACTTGTATGCATGCATATTAGCATATCCAATGGACACAGACACTGGGGCAGAGAGGGCTTGCCCAGGATGGGAATGGCTGGGGGGGGGGGAGGGGGGGGAAGAAGACACATGTAAAACTTTAGACAATTAAAAACAAAACAAAACACACACACACAAAGAGCATATTTTCACAATACCAAAGGAAGAGAATGTTTTAATGAGGATCACTGGTGATGAATGTTGATGAGAGGTAAAATACATACTAGAAAATACATACTAGATTTTGTGACACAGAGGTAATCAATGACCCTAATAAGAATACTTTGGATAAGGTAACATATGTAGTAGATATTCAAGCTAAATTTGTGTGAATTGAGGAATGAAGGAAAGAGAAAGAAATTAAGACAGGGAGTAGACAACTCATTCCAGAAGCTTGACTGTAAAGGAAAGGAAAGTTTTAGGGGGATATGGTGTTAAGGGTTATGTTTAACTAGGTCCTCTCAGCAGCAAACATCAAAATCATATCAGAATAGGCATGGGTTTGTTTTTTTTTAATGGAAACAACTGTTGAGTGAAAATGGGGAGGGAT